GGTGTGAGTCCACTTTGGAGGACTTTGGGTGTGTTCTGCTGCCCTCTTCTGGCCATAGAAATCATCAGGTGGGTTCATCCTGGGCTCACAGAATTTGGAGAGAAAGTTTGCTGGGGCTGGTGTCAGGTCACAGTGACCTTTAGTTACAGGAATGTTACACAGAGCTGGGCCTCCACACATTTAAATCTTTCCGAGCTAAAATAAGCCAATTTTATAAGCAAGCATTGTACCTGCTTGGGGTGAGCTTTGGATAAGGGACGGTGGGAGGAAGACAGTGATGCAAGGGAAGGATGTGATGGAGGCAAGATGGGAGAGGAGACCCCCCTGTAGGCCTCCCCAGCAGCCAACCCAAGGGGGATGTTCAACCTCTGGCCTGAACGCCCAAGCCCTACCTCGGTGTTGGACTTCGTGCCTGGCACGGGGCCTTGGCCTTGGCTGTTTAGCTCCTGAGCATCCACTCCGGAAAGGAGACCCCTCTCCAGCTGCGAAGGCACTTTTGCCTTCAATAGAAGGCCCTGCACCTTCTCTGCGGGGTGGTTAATAACAGAGTTTGCAATGAGGAGGAGAAGAAAAAGCACTGACTGTCAGAGGTCCTGGACACTGCTGAGCAATGGGCACCCTTCAAGGCCCAGAGCATCCTTCACACGCCAGTCTTGTCCAGATCCCTGGGCCTGAAGTGCCTCCTGGTTCTGCTCAGCCAAACATTCACAGAAAGAGGGGGCTAGGGCCTGGGCTTACAACAGTGGCTTTTGAAGACCATTTGGGCAGTGTCCCTGGAGGGGATAGGCCCCTAAACCAACCACGGTCACACTGCTGGTCAGCGCTGGGGTGGGTCAGTTAAGAGGGGATGCTGGGAAGCCCTCTGGGCACTGGTCTTGGAGAACCCTTGGTCGTAGCCAAGGGGCAGCTCTGAGATATTCTCAGAGACCTTCATGCTTCTATGTCAGTGGTTCTCAACCTGTGGGTCACAACCACAGGAACTGTATTAAAGGGCCGCAGCGTTAGGAAGGTTGAGAACCACTGTTCTATGTAATCAATCTCAGCCACAGCTTCTCCTCCTTTTTACCTCTCCCTTGGTACTCAGCACTGCGCAACACCTGGTAGGAAGTCACCACTCTGGTTCTCAGCATCTGCCCAGCACCTCCCTCCCCCCGCCCCCCAGTGCCTAGGGAGCCTCCAGACTGGAACAGAGGGGCTAAAAGCATGGATGTGGTCAGAAAGATGTTTTCTTAGGCAAAAGTAGCAAGTTCTGGGCATGGAGAAGTTGCCCTTGTCCTCTTTCTAGGAAGCTGATGGCCGAGCCCTGTCTCTGCTAACCCCATGTTTCTCTGGGGACACAGTTGAGAAAATTCAACAAAGCTTTCCAGGTTTTGTCCATCTCCCCCACTCAGACCCGGATTCTGAGTCTTTCCAGTGCAGCCACCAGGCTGGAGGCCCCCCAGCACCACTCGCACACTTCCCACCACACCTCCACTGAGCAGACAGCTGCTCCCAGCCGTCTCCACAGTGAGGAGCCTGGCTCCATGTGAGACTGAGAGGGAAGTGCCCTCCAAAGTTCCTGGCTCCATGTCCCCTTCCAGGAGCATTTGGCCCTTCTCCTAATGATAGGCTCTCTCCTCCACCCTTAGATGTTACCATCTTCCCATTTAGCCTCAGACCACCACACACTCCGATTTAAAGGGAACTTGGAGGCCACAGGCAAAGTGCCCCTCCTGGCCTGGTAGTATAGCCAAGTGGTCACACTCCACAGACCTTACACCCAGCACATTTTTCCTCCACTTACTGGCTATGTGGCCTTGGACAAGTTTCCTAACCTCTCTGAGCTTCACTTAAAATGGGAATTCTAGTAGTACATTCTTATACACTCATGAGGATTAAGGGAATCAATGTCTGAAAAGTAGTTTAAAAGGGCTCAGCACATTATTTGTGCTCAAGCAAGAAAATCATTCTATTATCATCACCTTTGCAAAATACAATGACAAATCTGGTTAACTGGCTAGCAGAACCACTACTAACTTATCTGTGGTATCTGGCTCTAAAATCATCCTGCAGGTCCTGTTGTACCAGATCCTAGGTACACTGACTGGGCCAGATCAACTTCCAACTCTGTGTCCAGACTGTGTCAGCACTACGGGAACCACAAAAGAACTTTATGCCCAAGGAAAAGATAACATCACAGACAAAATAAGACTAATTTACAAAGCAACTGGCAAAAATTAATCTGCTTAAAAGTACTAAATTGTTCAGTGCAAGCTGTAATCGCATTAATAGTAAGAACCATTTGTAAGGCATTTGCGAGTTTAGCACTTGGAAATATGTTATTTCATGTAATCTCTAAACCAGCAAAGTAAGTACAGATGCTCCTCAACTTATCAACTATGTTCCAATGGACCCTTTGTAAGTTGCAAATATGCTAAGTTGCAAATGCACTTAATACTCCCACCCTACTGAACATAATAGCTCACCTTAACCATGCTCAGAACACTTGCATCAGCCTACAGTTGGGTAACGTCACACTGTCTAGCATCAGCTATTTACCTTGTGATGGTGGGGCTGACTGAGCCCTGGGCTTTCTGCCATGCCCAGCATCCCCAGACAGTATCATACTGGGGCCACCAACCTGAGGAAAGTTCAAAATTCAAACTACTGTTTCCACCAAATGCATATCATGTTTGTACCATCATCATCATAAAATTGAACAGTTACAAGTTGAACCATCCTACGTCAAGGAACATCTGCATTGTTATTAGCAGATGAGGAAACCGAGGCTCATGGAGATAAAATGGGTTCTTTGTGAACACATTACCAGGAAGTGGATGACTCAGAAAAGATTCTAACCTGGTTCTAACTTCATTTGCTACCAGGATCATTGCTTTGTCCATAAAGTGGTGGGGTGGGGTGTGTATATTAGTCAGCCAAGGCCGCCACAACAGAGTACCACAGACTGAATGGTTTAAACAACAGAAATTTATTTCCGCACAGTTCTAGACGATGAGAGTCCCAGAGCGAGAGGCCATCAGAGCTGGTTCCATCCTAAGGCCTTTCTCCTTGGCTTTGTAGATAGCGGCCTCTCCCTCTGACTTGTGAGTGCTGCCCACATGCATGTCTGCCTCCAAATTCCCCCTTCTTATAAGAATCCTAGTCATACTGGATTAGGGCCTGTCCTAAAGACTTCATTTTAATAAAGATACCTTTTTAAAGACCTCATCTCTAACAGTTACATTTAGACAGACTGTGGGGTCAACTTAGGGATGTGGGAAGGTGGGGAGGAACACAATTCCACTCATCATAGTATGTGTGTCCTATAGGGGTGGCTACC